ACAGAAAATCCTCGTTAGACCGACATAAAAATGATATAATAGCAACACTGACATTAATAATTGAATGGCTTAATAAAAATAATCTAAAAATTAATTTATCGAAAACTTATCTCATTAATTTTAATAATTTCATAAATAAATCTATAGAATTGAATATCAATGGTCAAGTTTTGCGAAATGCTGAAAGTACAACATTCTTGGGCTTAATAGTAGATGAAAAGCTCTCCTGGAAAGGACAAATAGATAAACTCTGCAATAAAGTAAATAGCTTTTCCTATGCACTGTATAAACTGACAAAAATTGCAAGTGTGAATACAGCTATTACTGCTTACTTTGCATATGTAGAGTCGATACTGAGATATGGCCTACTAATTTGGGGTAATGGTACGGACATCAAAAGATTATTTATTGCTCAGAAAAGGTGTATTAGGGCTATTTGCAACCTTAAACCTGATGTGTCATGCAAGCCTCACTTTAAGTCTCTGGGAATTTTAACACTGCCTTGCCTGTATATTTTAGATGTAAGTATGTTTGTAAAATCGAATGGTCACTATTTCACACAATCCCAAGACCAAACCCATAGAAGCCTAAGAAACCCTCATAAACTAGTACTCGAGTTGGTACCAAAAACTAAACGTTTCCAAAAAAATTGCTTTTCCATGTGTAAAACCATATTTAACAAAGTACCAAATCACTTGAAGAGCCTTCCTTTCAATCGTTTCAGGTCGATGTTACGAAGATGGCTATTGGAAAGAGCTTACTATTCGGTTGATGAATTTTTAAAAGATAAAATGAATTAATCAATATTATTTATGACATAATTACTTTAATAGATTATATGCTTGGTGACATTGAATTTGACATTGAATTTAAATTGACTGTTGACATTTTATTTTGTTTAATTGACTGATTGTTGTATTTTGATGTATTTGATATCCATGTGGCTTGTTAAATTAGATTATTATTGTCTACAAATTGGTCTACTATTATTACTATTACTGATTTGCATGCTATATTTAAATGGCTAAGTAGGAAAAGGTCTTATTATTCTCAATAACATCACCACTGTGTACATACCCTATTTAAAGCAAATAAAGATATTTGTATTTGTATTTGTATTTGTAAACCCCCCTCTCCCTGCCGGCTCAAGGGCTAAGGGCGGGGACTTTTGCTATGTTCACCACCTAACTAGGCTAAATAAAGTCCCGAGGTCAGAAATTGTGTTCCACGGATTTCTCTCTACACCGTCGTTAAGGCATTCATTGACTGGACTATATATCTAAAATATTTTCCGCGAATAAGCTTTTCATGATAATTTTCTCTAAATATTTGAAACACTTTGTAATACATGTCACTTTAAAAGCCTGTTAGAGATCATTAATTTGTCCCTTGGTGTCTACATTAAAACAACATTAATCCATCAGCAGAGTCCCTTCGGAATGTAATCCATTCTAATTAATATCATGATATAATCCAGAATGTCTTCGTCAAGAAAATTAATCGCGAAATTGAAATCCACTCCAAACAAGAAATTGTTAAAGCGGACCGAAACAAACTTTCAACGACGAATAATTTAAGGTTCTCGAGAATTCTGCGGCAATACGCGTCAATACCCCTTGGTGATAGCTCGAAATTGAATTTTTATTTATAAAGAGGAATCAAATTACCTAGCAACAGAGTAATAAACTTTGATTGCGGCAAACAGGCTGTGCTCAAAAGCTCTCAAAGCTCTCAATTTAAGAAGGTAATTTCGTTATTTAATCTTTTTTGTTACATTATTTAGTATTAACTAGAACTTAATGCTATAAATGTCAATTACCCTTTGGTTTAGTTAAATTAACATTATATGTTAATGAACTAGTGTGATTTTATAAAAGTCAGTCTATAGTAACTACTCGTATATACCAATACCAATTTCGTGAAGGTACAGCTTTCCTTCATGTATTAGTTTCAAAATCACCAGTTAATTACCAAGTTCAAAGCCAACCAGATCAGACCAGAAGCTTCGTTTGATGCCTAATTCACTGCACAGCGCAGGTCACAGTATGCCCTAGTGAACTAACGCATGGTCTTCATGGTTCATTGCATTTGCTTAAAATGCCTATTACATGGTACAGTAAGGGCGTGATTAGTTACTGCATGCAATCTAAATCCGGGAAATGACAAAGTACCGGTATAATAATTTATTTTCTACGAAAAATCGGAGACTTAACTAATAACAGTTTCGGATTCGGATGAGATGCAGCTCGTAATCTCTTAAGTCTCCAATTAAAGAACGGCATGTAAAAGTCATCAAGCTTTGTTATGACATGATAATTAAAATAACACAAAGCTTAAAGATCTTGATTGAGAGTAGAAGCTTGCTTTGTTCTTTTGGCCAGAATATCTTTTTGTACTTATCATGCAGAGTCTGTGAAAAGGTGTGCCCAAAGCCATGTAGACCTGTTTTTGTGCGTTCGTGCTCAAACTACGCTTAAATGTAACTCATTTTACAGTGTGGAGATCCAGGCCAGACTAAGAACAATTTATCGGAATCTTTTACATCATCATCATCATTTCAGCCATAGGATGTCCACTGCTTTCCATGTTGGTCGATTGGTAGCGGCCTGCGTCCAGCGCTTGCCTGCTACCTTCATTTAAAGGTTTCGTCATGTCGTCGGTCTACTTTGATGTTTACAATCATTTGAGAATAGTAATCACGAAGTTAATTAATTTAAAAATAGAAAAACAGCTGAGGCGTCTTAAAATTTGCGTTTCTTTCAATTTAGTAGGTACAGTATGCTAACTGAAAACTACAGTCTAGTTCAGCATGCCACGAGTACCTTGTACGTCACTCGATTTAAGCACCAGACGAATGCTTTAGCTCGTCTAAGTTGCAGCCGCAAAGCTTCGAGAATGCACGTCAATATAGCCCGTTCTACAAAACCAAGCTCGATACCTCAATTCACACTCGACTATAGTCATGTATTCATGTTTGTAGAGTTTCAATAATCACAGAGCTGAATATATTTTTGAGAATAAGCTCATACTTGTGTATCATTTCACTATACGCTCCTTTTACTTAGCATATGTTTATGACTAGGGCGTTAAAACCCGTGCCTAAAGGACACCTTTAAAAAGAAAACCTTTTCATGTCTTCTAGATGACTCATTGGTATATTACATTAGGTAACTCGAACATTACGTTCTGAAAGAAGCGTTTGCATGCTGTATCATTTCGCGTTGTCAGTTTCATATACAAGATAAAATTTTTAGTCACATTCGCCATATTGACGAGTGATATTCATATTTAATTTTACTTAACGACGTAATAAATGGACTACAGTGGTTTAAGTTTCGATTTGTCGTTAACAAAGATCAATCTATTATAAGTTATACAACTAAGTAACATGTTATACGTAATTTCGCAAAATCAATACAAATATGCTAAAAGCCGTATTTTCCATTAAGTATTTAATGAAAATCTATTAATTTTCTTTTAATAACATAAGGAAAAGTGGCCTGCTTAAACGAAACAATGTCAATCAATACATTATGTTTATTAAAAGGGTGATCTATAGGTTGAAAAAAAAAGTTTTATAGTAGGTATCCATGTACAATACATGTCAGTGCATAGTGAATTTCCACTCATTTTTTTATTTTCCTAAACCACATATCATTCAGTATCGTGTCAAGATTGAGGCTTATGATCACGAGAAAGAAATGTTATTCCAATAGAGGAAGAGAAACTCAGAAAATGTAACATATTAAATTATTAGGCGACATTACATGAAAGTGGTTATTTATTTATAGACTGAATAACACCCTTTGTGAAAAGGGCAGAGTAATTGCGCGTCATCAAATAATTCAATAACAACATCAAATAAAACGTATCTTATGATGATCATAAGTAGGTATAATCGATTCAACTGTGATGCTTTAATCGGACTTCGTAGAATCAGAAATCGTTGTGTTAATAATATATTGATAGAATAATATTGTGGTACTTACAAGAGTCGACTGGAGTGATGTCGGGCCCGTCGTGAGGCGCCAGCATCTTCATCGTGATGGCACCCGGCAGTACGCTACTGGACACCGACACCTTGACTAATTTCCTCGACAACGACACGGAAAAACTCCTTTTTCAACCCAAAAGGGGAATTTGCGCGAGAATTTCGGGAGAGCCCAACAGGCTGTTGTCTTCGACTAGTGCACTATCGATCAGACCAGAGCGACGCATGCGCGGTGGCCTCACGAGCCCGCATGCGTTTTAAAACGTCCCGTTTGAACGGCGGCCATTTTGGACAGGAAAGACGTCACTTGACAGATGACAGGTTATGACGTCCGTTCCGCCTCGCCCGCGAATGACGCCGTTTTTAATCTTAATATGGAAATGGATATGGGCAGCCATTACTTAAAAGGGTGACTCAGTACTAATTGAATCTGTCTCTAATTAAATGTAGAGCTACTACTAATTTTCAATCAAAGCTCTTTTGAATCGGCTGAATCTGAAGGTGACATTTCTGAAAATGTTTGTAATTTATGTACCAATATTTGAGTAAGAAATAACTTTCAAAGACTTTTTATCAAACACGTTAGTACCAATGCGTCTAAATTATTTTATTGAAACTGTATGTAGAGATTGAGGCCTTGTGGCGGTAATTTTAGTTATAAGGATCTGAAATAGAGCTGCTTGCACTAGACTCTAGTCAAAATAAAGCTCTTTAAGACATCTATCTAGGTTAAGTGCTCCGAGGAGATAGACATTGGTAGAGAGCTCTCTATTCCCTTTGCAGTCAATGCAGGGTGCTTCATGGAAATTTCACATAATTAAATTGCACGCTTCGTCATTCAGATGTCGATTGCATAAAGACCCGCCTACGCCTTGTTGATAAAGGGAAAAAGAGATGGTAAACTAATAAAGTCTTAGTTACTTGGTACTAAATAACTAAACATTTTTTATTTCTTTTCTTTTTTTTATTAAATTAAATCTTTTGGGTTTCTTAAGTAAAGTTGAGGAACAACTGTTATAAATTAATTTTATTGAAAATCGTAAATAAATTTACATAAAATATTAATAAATATTATTACATCACGTGTATAACGTTTGTGTTGCGTCTGCTCGCGGCAGGCGGTCGAATGTGTGTGGTGGTGGTGGTGTGGTGGCGTGGTGGCGTGGTGCGGCGCTTAGTAGCCGGCCAGCTCGGCGAAGGTCGAGTCCATCTCGTCGGCCAAGCTCTTGTAGCGGTCCTTGTTGATGCCCAGCTCATCTGTACACGTAATATTAGATTAGAATTGGGATTTTCATGAATGAGACCCACTACCTTCAAACCGTAACATCTTGGTACAATGAGGCACCACTACTTTGAAATCTAGTAAGACCAGATTCTTTTTTTTTTTTTTATATATCCTTCCTTTTAGAGGAAGGTTACGATTTGAACATCATAACAATCTAAGATTGTCTGAAATTATATCTAACTCATCTACTGTAGGAACTTTCCAAAGAGTAAAGAATGGAATGGACACATTAATAGTTTAAAATATTTTTATAAAGTCTCATGTTTATCATAGCGAAGCGATGGCTTTTAATGAAAGTAATTAATTTGAAAGAGATTAAAGAAAGATAAAGTACCTTGAAGGCATTGGTCCGCGACGGTAGCAGCAAAGCATAAGACAAGTTAATCACAACACGAAAAGCAGGGCTTACATCTAAATGGATCTCTAAAGGAGGGCCTGACCCTATTTCTTGTGGAAGGCCAACCTTCAGACATCGGGTTAAGGTTATGTTAGTTAGATAAAAAGATTTATAAAGCTTTAAAGACTGGTTCCACATTGAAGGTCCTGGAAATTGAACGAGAGATGTGGGGTTTCTTAGGTACGTATAAAAAGGTGACTGGTTCAGGTGCCGGTGGGGGGTAGAAGGACTGTGACGGACGTTTTGTCTTAAACTAAGTGCGTTAAGGGTCGGTTAGTATCCAGTGAGCTCAGCGAATGTTCCGTCCAAGTCATCGCATATCGCCTTGTATTTCTCCTTCTCGTTGAACAATGCGTCTGTAAAACGTTGTCATTTGATAATAACTTACATACCAATGCGGGTCCAGAGCTAGCTTAGAATTAAAGAGAATATTTAGATAGATTTAATTATGAATTAAGAAGCTTTGCCAGAGAAGTTATACCATTCTCTTTTTTGTTATGTATTAATTAAGATTGTTTATTGCCACATCATTTTAGAGTAGAGTTGAAAAGTCAAGAATGATCACAGAATTTTAAGTTGTTTTTTTTTATGAAAATTAATAACGTTTTAGGTGGTTTAGTACGGTTCTCATACCTTCAAGCCTGTCGACCTCCTTCTGCAGTTTCTTGACAGTCTTTTCGGCAAACTCGGCGCGGGCTTCGGCTTCCTTGAGTTTACTGGTGAGGGTCTTCAGCTGTTTTTTGAATTCTTCTACGCGCTGGTTGGCCTTCTCCTCGGATACTTCCAAGGATTTAAGGGAGTTACCTACGACCTATGGGAGATAATAAATCTATCATTAATACAGGGTAACTTTGTGAATGTTTAATGTCACGCAAAAAGTACTGGACAGACTTTGATGAAACTTTTTGTCATACTCGTAGGTTAGGTGTACGTATATTGTTTGTTATACAGGAAAATAGCACAGACTTTGATTTATCAACTTACAATCATCACTGAGATTATGCATGAGTACCTATTCTTTACGAACTACCTAATATAGGCTTCTTCTTTGGTAGAGTCTTGATATTTACCTTTAATTCTTCCTCAAGTTCTGAGATTTTGGCGTCTCCAGACTTGACACGGTCCTCAGCGACTTCGAGCTCGTCTTCAACGAAGGCCAGTTTGCGGGATACCTGTACCATCACAAGTCCTCATTACTACGTCAAATTAAAATTAATTAATTATTTAATTGAAACATATTAATCTCACGAGTACATCTTTTGAAAACTCTAAAGCTAATGAACTTTACTTGTTTACTCTCAGATTGTTTACACCGGGAATGTGTACATTTACTCGTGGATTAAGTGAACTTAACAACCACAATCTTTCTACGTCTAAAAGAGTATTAACCAAGTCATGTGGTAATTATTTGGAATTTAACATTTACTCGTATAATGCTAAATACGAAACATTATTTTAAACTTGAATAAACCAAAGCAGCCGCACGTAAACCAAAACTTCCCAGTCTCAGTCTCAATTCCTACCTAAGATAGTTGATATTTATTTTATTATTTTATTAGAGCATGGTGACAATTAAATTGTAAAGAGCAAAACTCAGTCTTACTCAGATGACGAAATAAGTATTGATGATGATAATGATGCAGATATACTCGTAAGTATTGCGTAGAGAACAAATTGAAGTAAATTCTCTAATAATGTAATTTATTTGTCTTGAAGACAATACACAGCTACAGTATTTATAAAATTAGAATTTAATGTTACTATTTGGTATTCTGTACGTATATTTTGCTGGACTGACATCAAAAAAGCTTCTTTGAACCTAACTTTTAGTGCTTGTATCAACAGCCTGCCTCCTACCCTGTTACCCCTTATGACTACAGTACGCACCTCGTCAGACTTGCCGTCGGCGTCCTCAGCGAGCAGACGGGCCTCCTTCAGCTGGTTGGTGAGCTGGTCCATGCGCTCCTCGTCCTGCTGTGCCCTGTTCTCCAATACTTTGCACATACTGAAACGAAGAGATACCAGATGTTAAATTTATACTTTGCAGTTAATGAAAGGATATAGGTAGTATCTAAACCCATTCAGTTTTCAACAAATTATAACCAAGCAAAAATCCGTAACAACATTTACCACCCACATTGATAACATAGTAAGCAATCTAAAATCTTTTAACAAATAAAAAAAATTATCCAAATTACGTAATAATCAACGCGTAAACCGATAGCGCCGCACTCTTGATGAATAATTATAATGATGAATCATAATGATTTAAAAAAATCTAAACTATTTGGAAGTAGGTATAAAAGGTACAAGATGTACCAAATTATACTTTCACATACGGAAAACAAAAATATAAAAGATTTATCGTCCACAAAATGTCATGTACTAATATTTTTTATTGAAACAAATCTTGTTGATCGTCCGGAGCACAAAGTTAGCTGTTGCGTGTTGTTTATTTTCTCATTTAACAGTAATTAGGACATTATTTCATAATGCACTTAAGTTATTAGGAAGTCAGAAATAACTAGGTAGTCAGAAACAAAACACGCTCAAGTTTTCATTGTTAATTGACAGATTTTTTTGATGTTATGAAAATATTATAGTATATTTTTTTTATTACAGCACATTAGACTACATTGTCATTATATTTGTTTTTATTACACTATTTAAAATTTTATGCTTAACTAGCGGCCGCCCGCGACTTCGTACGCGTGGATCCCGTTTTACCCCCTTCATCTATCTTACGCGGTTTAGATATTTTCATACAAATGTTTTTTCCCGCTAACTCTCGTTCCCGTGGGAATTTTGCAATATCCTGTTGTAACTAAGCTTTAAGTTTACTAAGGTACCTGCATGCCAAATTTCAAGCGTCTAACTAAGCAGTTTAGATTTTTCATACAAAAGGATTTTCCCGCTAATTCCCGTGCCCGTGGGAATTCCTAAGTATCCTATAACCTGCCCAGGAGTACGAAGAATAATTGTACCAAGTTTCGTTAAAATCCGTCAAGTAGTTTTTGTTTCTATAAGGAACATACAGACAGACAGACAGACAGACAGACAGAAAGACAGACAGACAGACAGACAAAAATTTTACTGATTGCATTTTTGGCATCAGTATCGATCACTAATCACCCCCTGATAGTTATTTTGAAAATATATTTCATGTACAGAATTGACCTCTCTACAGATTTATTATAAGTAATAGATAGACTGACTCAAATGCCTCTTTGATAGCCTGGAAAGTCAACCAGTAGTCGAATACATTATGACTACGCGTTCAAATTGATATGTCGTCGTCTGAATATTATGTAATTAATTTCGTAAAAAGCTCTTTTAAAAGCCCAAGTAAAACTAAATACATTAACATAAGTCATGGAGACTATCGCCCGTATTCACAAACGATGCTTGCTTAAGTGAAGCAGCAAATCGAACGCACAGCGTTGAATAGAGCTCTGTGATTGGTTCATGTGTCACCCTGTGCGTCGACGCGCAATGAGAGACCTCATAGTAATATTTGTGAATACGCGTATGACTTTTTATGTATCGCTATAAAAGATTAAGCTCGCCTTTTTGTACAGAACATTGTTGTGTGTGCAATAAAGTCTTTAAATAAATAAATAAATAAATTCTAGAGTCTCACCGGTTGTTCTCGTCAGCGGACTGCTGGGCCTCGAGCAGCTTCTGCTGGGCTGTGCCGGACCTCTCCTCAGACTTCTCCAGGTCCTCCTCAATCTGCTGGACCTTCCTGTTGAGGGAGGCGACCTCAGCCTCGGTGGCGGCCAAGGTCTTCTCCTTCTCTTCGAGGTCCTTGTTGGCCTGGTCCAGTCTGTTCTTGTTGAGCGTAAGGTCTTCCTCCACCTGGGTAAGCTTCTTCTGGAGCTCACGGACTTCCTCGTTGACCTGGGGTGATAAGCGTTTTTATTAGCTGATTGGAATTGAAGTCCTAAAATTTATGATTTGCAACGTTTACGATGACTAAAAATTTGCGTGGTGCTTACGTTTTCATTTCGTAGGACATGAAAAATAAAAAAATACTAAAAAAGAAGTTCGAAATCGTACACATTTTCTTTTCGTCAATTTTCTTTTTGACTCTGACGATCATAGCTGGGCATTAACTCGTTAATCCGTTAATCGTTAATTAACGAAGTTAACATTTCTATTAACGGATTAACTTTTAAGTTAACTTTAAAAAATGTTAACGGACTCGTTAACTTCCGTTAAATTATCCTAAGTCCGTTAATCGTTAATCCAGTACCTACTATTTGCCAAAAAGATACAGCAGGCACGCTGAAAAACACTAGAAAAACGCGTTCTGACAAGTACGTTCGGGCTTCCAGAACTTCCAGAACCCAAAACAACAGTTTTTGTAACCAGAAAGAAGCGATATAAAAATGCTATTTTTTTATTTATTTACAAGCTTATACAGGGTGGAATTATGTAACGCCACCTGGAGGGAAAGTACTCTTAATACTGCAGATAGAAAATTTTANAATAGATAAACTCTGCAATAAAGTAAATAGCTTTTCCTATGCACTGTATAAACTGACAAAAATTGCAAGTGTGAATACAGCTATTACTGCTTACTTTGCATATGTAGAGTCGATACTGAGATATGGCCTACTAATTTGGGGTAATGGTACGGACATCAAAAGGTTATTTATTGCTCAGAAAAGGTGTATTAGGGCTATTTGCAACCTTAAACCTGATGTGTCATGCAAGCCTCACTTTAAGTCTCTGGGAATTTTAACACTGCCCTGCCTGTATATTTTAGATGTAAGTATGTTTGTAAAATCGAATGGTCACTATTTCACACAATCCCAAGACCAATCCCATAGAAGCCTAAGAAACCCTCATAAACTAGTTCTCGAGTTGGTACCAAAAACTAAACGTTTCCAAAAAAATTGCTTTTCCATGTGTAAAACCATATTTAACAAAGTACCAAATCACTTGAAGAGCCTTCCTTTCAATCGTTTCAGGTCGATGTTACGAAGATGGCTATTGGAAAGAGCTTACTATTCGGTTGATGAATTTTTAAAAGATAAAATAAATTAATCAATATTATTTATGACATAATTATTTTAATAGATTATAATTATGCTTGGTGACATTGAATTTGACATTGAATTTAAATTGACTGTTGACATTTTATTTTGTTTAATTGACTGATTGTTGTATTTTGATGTATTTGATATCCATGTGGCTTGTTAAATTAGATTATTATTGTCTACTACTACTACTACTATTATTACTATTACTGATTTGCATGCTATATTTAAATGGCTAAGTAGGAAAAGGTCTTATTATTCTCAATAACATCACCACTGTGTACATACCCTATTTAAAGCAAATAAGGATATTTGTATTTGTATTTGTATTTGTATTTAAATGCCGAATTTTCATTTTTTAAATTACCAGTTGATTCGGGGAGGTAAGTAAGTTATTTATTTGAATTTCAATTGAAATTGAAAGCCAACTCAATTTTTAGGAATATCGAATTGTTTAGAGAGGTTTTAGGAATTATTAGATAACTAGCTTTTGCCCGCGGCTTCACCCGCGTGAAATTTAGTTTGTCACAGATCGTCATAAATTATAGCCTATATATTATTCAGGGTTATAAACAATAATACTGTAAAGTTACATCAAAATCCGTTCAGTAGTGATCGCGTGAAAGAGCAACAAACATCCAGACATACAAACTTTCGCATTTATAATATTAGTTGGATAATAGTGTCAACCACTCAACTAAATACAACTTCCTTCTCGTGCATTTGTTTGCAAACTATTGCTATAATAACGTACTAAATATAAATAAGTATACGTGGATATCTGTTATTGTCTTTCTTGCATAGTATTAAGAGTTACATTTTTCTATCATAACGAAATAAACGCAACACATGACAAGACAACCCTAGCGCGACGGCCGAGCGTGCGAGCGAGAGAGGTATGCAAAGCGAGGTATACATACATGAGTTTACCTTCTGTTATATTTTGTGACCGAACCGAGTCGAAGTGGAAATAAATGCCTACTTTATATATGAAGTATGACAATAATATGTCGTTTTTTCTATGCAACGACTCATATTAACTGACATTGTGATTGTGAGTACTTATCAGTCTCACATTTTTTTTGTTGGAAACTTACAAAGATCTTTCTACATTTCCGGTTGTTTGCGCGCTTATGTTGGCAACAAAGAGTTCTCATGTTCTACTGTTGGTATACATGCGTGCATCTTCCCGACCATTCGCCAAAGTTCCTTGGCGTCTAACGCCATCTATTTCTCCGCGGCGTAAACTGTTGTGCCGCCTACCAAACATTTGAAAGGAAAAAGACAGTTGCCCGTTGCCCATACTCCATTTTTCACGTGCGCATCCACGCCGCTACAAAAACCTATTTTATTTTATCGTTTGGTGATTTTGTGCGAAGTGCAGTGTTTTCCGCTGTTCGACCGACGCCCTCTGATATTGGATTGCTACGAGGAGTGCTGGAACTGGGATAGGGAGCCCGGTGTCGCTGTTACCAGGTCAGTGCATGAGTCTCACATAATCCCAATATATCGGGTAAACTCCTTCCTCGGCAACTCACACAGTTATTCTATTCCCGCATCGCATTTTTGCAATTTGGTATACTTATGTAAGTACGATGAAAATGCAATGTTGTGGTACCATTGAGCTGGTCTAATGATGGAGTCAGGAGACGGCCATAGGAACTCCTAAATGAAACGGCGGAATCGCATCGAATTTGGGTTTGTTGGATTTGTCTTTTTGAGCACATTGGTGCTAAATTGTATTGTAATTGAACCAAGGCTCTGAGATTGAGATACTATAGACTAAGAGCTGGTGAACGCCAGACCAACGTCATATTATAAAAGCTGAAAGTTTGTCAGCGTATGTTCCCAATATAGGTTAGAATGTTGGTGGATTATGAAGTTTTGGTCATCGTGGCTTTGGCAGCTATCCTAAAAAAACTGTCTGGCAAGGAGTTGGAACTGTCAAAACTGTCTGGCTAAAAAGAGGAATATATTCCATGCGCGATACAAGCTTTCGAAATTATTTGAACCTTGCATACAATTATTATTTTCGTTTTATTATAATGTGTTAACGGATTAACGATTAACGTTAACTTGCGTTAAGTCTTGCTGAATGTAACGTTTTAACGTTTAACGAAGTTAATTTTTTTATTAACGGTTTAACGATTAACGAAGTTAACTATTTGATTAACGGTGCCCAGCTATGCTGACGATAACTTCCTTCTATACACTACTTCTTTTTATTCACCGAAATTTTGGACCTCATGAACGTCTCCTCTATCGTCATAGCAATAGCGACCGCGTGTGGAGCGTAATATTGGCTTGCTGCGACGCGTGTCCCGTGTGCATAAATTACCAATTTAAGGGTGGAATTTTAATAACGTTATTTAAGTTTTTTTGCATAAAATAGGATCACTATCAATAACTCATTACCCTGTTAAAACGGTGAATAAAAAGTATTGGTGTATAGAGTAAGAGCTGGAGTTCTAGACCGTGAAAAAGTCTTTCATTGATCGAATTTAACTATAGTTTTAAACTAAAAAAGCTGTCGTTCAATGGCGTTACCTTCTCGGCGCGGAGGTTGGCGTCCCTGGCCTGCTGCTCGCAGGTGTCGGCCTTGTCCATGGCGTTGTCCTTCTCCAGCTTCATCGCCTGCATCTTCTTCTTGATCGCGTCCATGGTGGCGGCGGTTTACTTCTACGGTCCGGTCGAAAAAATACGCCAGTTACGGCCTGGTGGGTGAAAGAAGGTACTTTATTATTCACGTGTTTATATAGTTATTATACAGTTTTGGTTTTCAAATAATGGAAAGGAGAAATATGATTTAACGCTAATCATGAGGTTGCGAAAAGATTCAACGATTGTACACGATTCTATCTCTATAGGTACATAACAAAACAGATTCTGCCTATCTCTGAGATATTTCTTAGCCACGTTACTAGGCGCAGTCCTATATTCTTCTCCTTGTAGGTTTCGTATGGGTTGTAACAACAAAGGCATCAGACCGACATAAATACTTTATTCTGATTTTCCATTTTCATTTTTAACGCCTCTGCTATGTTTTAAAATGTATTATCTACCTAATGTTCGTGTAATATTAGATGTCTGGCAACTTTATCGAACAAAAGGTCGCTTTGGGAAACCGACCAAAAACTTTTAATTACACTATTAATTAAGATGTGGCAGCCTTGGGTAGTGATGAGAGTTTTCGAAGTTCATAATAGTCTGTGTAATTTACTAATACAAAGAGAGCTAGGACACTACATTAGTGCTACCAGCCTGCCTTGTAACGGATTTCCCAGATTTTATACTTTTAAAGACCTTTATTAATTTCATAAATTGGTAAGGATTCAATTTCCTAATAGTGGTTTAAACTTTACTTAGGTACTGTTGAATTGTGATGCTTTCTGATTTTGAAATCTTAATTTAGGTCAGTAAAACCGAGTAATAAGGACTCCATAAAACAGGTTCCAGAAAGACCTGCTAGTTAATATTGAATTCCTTCGAATTTCATTCGCTGGTAGATTGGCTGTGCGCCAGAGCACAGCAGATGCGATACTGCATAATAATCATTCGGTTCGTGCTCCCGATACTAAATTATATCCAACCTAATTACCCTCCTGCCTCCGCAACCCTTGATTCCCTAATATATGACTCTTCTAGATATTGAACTAATGGTTCATTATAAGCTCATGCAGTCGACTGGAGCCGCATAATTCAGGACCATATTCCTGGATAAGTAGTACGCGAACTAAAATAGATTGTTTGTGCAAGAAGCTTAATGTTATGGATTTATGATGTGAGTATGTTATCATGAGGCTCAGCTTGTTTTCATTACACAATGTAATTGAGTTATCCTAATAAAAGGTTACGTAAATAGTACCTGTCCCTAAAGTAACTTTAAGTTGTCTAGACATCATGTATTGGGGATAAAAGTAATATATAGAATGAGTAAATATGTATAGAGGTATACTGGGCTAATACTTAGTTTATTTACTGTTAGTTTTTTTTACAAAAAATGTATGTGTCCATTTATCATGAAAAGATCACGTCCCTTGGGAAAGCTGGGTATTCAGTAATGGAAGTGATTTTTCCTCTACAGCTGTCGCAGATTGCGTTTAGCCACGACGGAGTAGAAACAGGTTTATTAGTAAGAATATTAGAGGTATTTCTAAAGATTACCTTCAAAATATTATTTTTATTTTATTTTTATTTTTTATTTTTATTTATCTTTATTAAAGAAACATACAGCCTTGTTTGACACATGCAGCTTAAAATTAAGTACATAATTTATATAGTACTAAACAATCGTCACTCTTTCTTTCTTTTTTCTTTCAAAAAGTTATAAGTTTGTGATACAAAACATATTAATACTGACTGTTTGGCCCTAAAACATGTAGAAAATTTAATAATATCCTGAAATTATGTGTATATTTTGCGTTCCTTTCGTTCCATGTAGAGCTCGGATCAGCGAAGGCGTATGTTTACATGCCACGAGCGGATTGCGTGCGCTCGCAAAAATAACCCTTGGGTTGTATCATACTTATAACAGGTTACATCGATGCGGCCTTTGGATTGGTATCTAAATCTAATAACTGTCTAATAAAAATACAATTCATATCGTTGTAGTCGTGAAAACTGTGAAACCGTGAGTACCAGTGAAATGTTTATTGCTTAGGTATAAGCATTGGAAACTATTTTATCTAAGTACATAGCGAAAAGTGTATTGGTTCAATTTCGCTATTGATCTGCAAACGTTACAAGATACAAAGTGTAGATAGGCACTATGTATTACAAGTGTGTATTTGGTATTGTGTCCAATATTGCATTTAGAAACAAGAGTACATAAAACTCTATGTACTTACTCTACCCAGTTGTTTAGAAATTCTTTAAAAACATATGTCGCTACGCGAAACGTTTTAACACGTTCATAAATTATGATACGGTAAATACCTAACTATCACAATAGCTCCAGTAAACTATAAAACTCCTGTAAAATAGAAATATGCGCTTTCGCGACTGGAGGCGAATTCGGCAGTGACGTCACTGGCGTTCCTGGCACGCTGTCAAGCGCTGATATTGTTCACAGAAATAAACCAGTTTTCAGTCGGCTCGCAACAGCTGGGAGAGACCAGTGTAACAGTATATTGTAGTAAATATTTAAATAAGGACATGAATGAACGTAGAAATGAGAACTCTGGGAAAGTCTTATTAGGTGACGGCTCGTGTTACAAACGATTGAAGTTACTCGTACTTCAGTTGACTAACGACTGCTACTATAATACGTTAATCGGAGATTAATAAAACATTATATCGAAGAAATCATTACTCGTATTACAAAATAATAAGATCTTAAATAAAGATTAAGACAAATGAGTTATCACTTGTTTTTGAGTCGATAAATTATACTTTCTTAGCGTTACTTTTCCAAATCAAGAAAATAAGCAAAGCTTGAGGTAGATATGTATGAATGCGAATATGTACAGTATTGACCGCGACCTACAAGCCAGTCGACCCATGAACTTTCATCGTGTAGTACCGTCCGCATTCTAGCAATTAAGTTTACCTTTGCATTTTAGCAATACTCATATACCTAGATTTTTTAAAAATACTACTTAACAATAACTAGTTTATTGTTAAGGAACGTATTTTTTACAAGCTACACTCAAATTTTTTGAGCACTAAGTTTATTGAACTTTCAGTGATTTTCAGCGATTTTCCTGACCTCCTAATGTTTTCCCTGAACGATATAGGGGCTTCTCTTTCCAATTAAACCTTTATTGTGTTTAAATATTGTCTATTGGTGGGTGGGGCTAGCACTATACAAACTAGTGTCTCAGCAAAAAGGGACTCTACCCTTACTAATGAATTAAGTTCAGCAAAAAGCTCATACGTTGATTACGAGACCACTGTTGTTTGTTTGACCAGTGTTTCATGTTGAAAAAACATAAGACGAGTCTTGTTCTAGTCAGAGCATTCTAAGATCTTTGGTGCCAATGAACTTTAACAAGTGTGACATACAAGAAGTAAAAATACACGAAATACTTTTAGTGTTACTAGGATAAATTCATCTTTTGTATTTACTCTTAGAATTGACTTTTTGTGCTTTTGAGATGCACTTAAAGACCTAAATGATGGATGCCAATCCATGAAATTTCTTTAAGGGATACTAAGTATTCATTGCAAACTGCAAATTTAATGTGAACTTATGACCTAATTAAGGCAGTAGCAAGACGTAGTTGGAAGTAGAGCTTTAGGAAAGTTTAAAAGGGGCTTACGTTCAACATCAATTAATCCTATATCCTATCATGTTTGTCAGTTTGACCCTCTTTATTTTGACCATAATAATAAAACTACACAAACACTTTGTTTCTTTAATCAGTCAGATAGTGATTGTATAAAGAATTCAGTAATATAACAAGGCTTGTAAAGAATTTTAAGAAAACAAGTGGGATAACAAAGAACTTGTTCCTGAAATTCCATCCGTTCGGTCAAATGCAAGTCAGACGCTTACAATGGTTCCGTATGCGACTACACTTTCCCTTCAATGCATCCACAAAAGTCTCAGCTACATAAAACATTTCCTCAATATAAAAATTATAGTCAACTAGTGGCCCGCGCAAGCTTCGCACGGTTGCAATGGAATTTCCCGGCTTTTCTCTTCTTTAATATGCATGTTTTATACCTATAAACCTTCCTCTTGATTTACTCTATCTATTTAAAAAAAACGCATTAAAATCCGTTGCGAAGTTCTAAAGTTCTAAGCATACATAGGGACAGACAGCGGAAAGCGACTTTGTTTTATAGAATGTAGTGATTTCAAAAACAAATCCACTTTGCACATTTCCATCAAAGTGATCCCTACGGTTCCGTTGGTTCATCGCAAGGCAAGGAACCCCAAAGCTTCTCAGATGCAATGAATAAGACATGACAGGTAATATTTCCCGTCAGGCCAGCGTCCCAGGCAGGATAGGTAGGTACTTCTTTGAAGTGTTGCCAACATTCCTCGTTTAACCGCCTCCCGACTACATACCGACTAGTTATCGTTTCATAACTACCACTCTCCGATACGTTTATTAAGTCCGATGCATCCGCTCACAAAATTAGATTTATGTTTTTGTAATTAAAGAGCGGTATAAATATCTATTCGTGATATTTGAGACTGAAAAAACTCGGACTTTGGACTACAATCAAGTTCGATGAGGCCTTGGGATAGTTTAAATTCATAAGCTTGAAAATTACAATGGAAAACTGGAACTTTGAACAATTTGTATAAGAACAAAATTGTGTATTTTAGATTGTGGTTTTGTGAAAAGTTATAGACTGTCATCCAATTTAATAACATCACATTCCGTGTTTTATGAGTATTTTCATTGAAACAATGTTTAAGAGTTGAGTGTATCGTCTGTAGATTGTAAAACGTTTCTACGTGTATAAGTATCTGTATCATAAATATAACATCTAATTCATCGTTTAAATGTATAATGTGAAGTGCTTTGAAAATGTTAAATAGAGTCATATCGGTACTGCTAAGTTAATTGCAATACATTATAAAGTATTTGAAATGTTAATTATAATATCCAAATACTTTGATCTAATTACTAAACGAGTTAATCTAATTACATCGTTCAATTGTTAACATTTTTACACGCTTTAAAAATAGTAACTAGTCATGCAGAACGTATGGCCAAAGCGGCCTAATTACATGTTATATGGGGCACGTCTGCAGCTAAATAAAAATTGAGACGAGTTTCCTCATCTTGCTAAATAAATACTGATGTTCGGGCATGCCGCAAATAGGTTAGCGGCGTGGGCGGGGCGCGGGGATCACTATTTTCAGCGAGGCCGCGCGCGCGCTGAAATCCGAGTCACACTCATGGGGACCGCCGCGCCGCACACTATGCAAACGTCACCAGATACTTTCCATCGCAAAAACATATCTCAACCACAATCCGAACTTGGAGTACCTGTCGAACCTTTTCGCAACCTACAACCGATAAGACACACGATCACTAAATCGCCGCGTAACTCCAGAAGCTTGGATACTCCACACTTCACGTGCCACTCGTGTATCACTGTCACAACACGGGGGTGGTTTCGGGGGTCGGGTATCCAAACTGCTGGGGGCTTCCGCGGGGGTGCGCGAGCGCAGCACTCACCTCACGAGCGGGCTATTCACACGGCGGAGCGACTCGCACTGCGCGCCGCCCTCGCCAGCCGCGCGCCCGCCCGACTATTTTCGGTGCCAAAAATCCAGGATTCCGATCCGCCATTCCGCTGCTCGGATGCTCCCGCGACACCCGTCACGCTCCCACACGCTACAACTGCTATCGCAAATCATATACAACTATGACTTTGTCAGCTCCCGCCTTAACTTTTGGACCCCAGTGACCCTGATCCCCGAAGTTCCCCGCTGTGCAACTTCCTTTAACCCAGGAAGCTCTAGCTCTTGAAAAAGAGTGTAACTTTCCCATTATTTTTTGCAATTAATTAATTTAAATTAATAAAGACAAAATCATGATTTAAGTAAGGCTTAAATTAACCCTAAATAACGAAAAGATGTGCACGAAGCACGATTATATCCATCCCTGTCTGGCGCATCCGACCTGAATCACGCATGTTGCGAATTTAACAAATTCTTGCGCCTCCGGTTAGTTACTGGATCCAGCTATAATTAGCGCTATCTACACTCATAAGTACCGCAGGCCATTGATGCAGAGCGCCGACGTCCAGCTTTCAACGGGACACGGATAAAGCTTTGCTTGATAAACAAATAATGAGCTTAATAATTATGAACGATCCTTTCAAGTGAGTTAAACTTACAGAGAGAAGCTTTACAATGTTTGTGATTCATTTACCTATAATAGAATCTTAACACACATAAAATACAAATACAGAATATTTCGTTTATCAAACCCCTTATTTTATTCAGAAATGGATTGCTCTTCCTTGAATTCCTTCCTTCTCTTAGAATGCTGTGCCCGACAGGGTCCATAATTGTATCTTATAAAACCATACATACCACCTCTGTAACATTATGGATGCAATAAAGAATTGAGTATTGAGTATTGAACCTGTGCGTATCGCTACCTCCTTGGACTCAAGGGAATTCTTATTTATACATTATACCTACTTTAATTTGTAATTAATACGCTTTCACGGGAAGGATTTTTCGATATTCGTACGCCTGAGTCTTTCGTTATTTTCATGTATGTATCCTAGTCACGAATCGACAGTGTATCTAAAGGAGAGTTGAAGAAATATTTTCAGCAATGGCATGACATCGAACTTGTGCTGTTTAGGTACATTACGTAGGTAAAACAGGTAGGATAAACTTAAAAAAAACTTTTCTTCGTATTAACAACTTAATATTTATTTTCTCCACAAACAACTGAAATAGAAACTACAAATTTGTATCAAGTATAAAAATACTAAAAATTGGACCTGGGTAGGTTAGGGTTATCCCGCGGATTTATTGTGCCGCGTACAAATTAGTTGATAGTCGTCTTTAAATAAACTGTTAAGTAAATAGGGGCATAACTAATTGCAGTATAAATAAAAGACACAAATAATACAAAGGTATTTATTTTAGAATAGTCAGTTAAAGCGCTTTAGGTACACTTCATTAGGGGAAGCTAGAGAATGCAGCCACGGCCACAGGAGAACTGGAATGTGAAGCTTATGATACATACAAAAACTAAGGCTAAACAAGTACAAAACTTACACCATAGTGCCTAAAATCAAACTCGTTACACGCTTCATAAGAATGCATTGAAGTTTATAGTAAGTTTACGTAAAAAACGTACCAAAAGAGGCGTAGAAAACATTTCGGCAGTGGACCTGGGACGGCGCGGACGCCCGTCGCTGTATGAGCCTCATACAAGCTTCAAAGTATGCATAATCACATTACGCAGATAGACTTTAAATATTTACAGAACGCGCATTAGTTTTTCTAAATGATACTAAGAAATTAATTAAAAACTCATCATTTGTGTTAGTCATTGTTAACAAGTTTACTAATTATGATGTAATTGAGTATCGATTATAACGATTTTGGATCCATCATAGTAGTTATTATTTGTAACGATTAATTTGTGGTCACTGGTGTACATGTCTAAAAAAATTCAGCAGAAATAGGTTGTAGTTTCCTTATCTGTGGTCTCGTAGCGCTACAAAACCCGTAGCAATTTCGTAGCTTACTACGAACGTTGCGTCGTAGTTGTACTTCTGTCTGAATCTTTTGACGACATTTTTATTGTGTCGCATTATATTTTTTTGCTTATATCTCGTGTATACTTACGCATACTCTCGATATACATATAACTACTATGATAGACACAAAATTATACCTATAAAGCCGAAAGTTATAGGTTTTATATAATTTTTTTAGTCTGTGCTATTCCTAAATATTTTGTACAAGTATCAAAAATTATATTTTTGAAAATTTGCAATGAGCTTTTCAACAAGGTTACGAATATCTTGGGCTATGATTTAGTTTTAATGTTTTTACTTATTTATTATTTTCTAGATTTAAACTTACAAGTACAAACATCCATAAGTGTAACCATTTTAATGCGCGTACAAAACAACTTTTATACAAACTTCCTACAATATTCAGTTTAAATTTTTAGGTTTTTTTAAGGATAAAAAACAATATATTACATACATAAGTAGGTACTTTAACACTTCATGGCTAGATAGAGACAGTTGTTTTGATGTTGTTAGATAGCCTTCACAAAGTCTTTTAAAGATAAGTTTTGTAAAAAATCTGTGAGACTTTCCAATAAGAGTTCGTATTCAGTTTACTTCTCTTTCTTTCAAGTTTGCAGACTTACATTAATTTAAATTAATCGAAAAGTTTGATTGAGTTTCTTAGACTTTGTTAACGAAATGTTCATAATTAACTTGAACAGTTGAACACCTGCATAAAATTTATCAATGGCGATTAATTATGTAGAGGCTACCCTACGCACGTTTAAACATAGGTATTTTCCTTAATTAAAGAAGGCAATAATATAGCATCTGTCTCTTATTACCTACCTATTGATACATCAACGCTCAATCAATCGTTCAAAGCAATGTTGCCTCGTATTCACTAGAGAAAAAATTACAGCGACTAAAAATGTGGAACACGCGATACATGTATCAAAAGGTGACGTAAAAAGAGGTCTGACGTCATTTCTGGATATAGATACATGATTATGAGGTCAGTGAATACGAGGCTTTGGATTCATCGTGCTGTGCAAAGGAGACTCGAAGCGACGAACACACTCTAAGCCTGGCTTTCTAGGAACTGGACGATCACTCGATTTCATCATTTATTATTCGAATTTAATTGGCGTTTCGAGTAGCAGATTCAGCAGCTATGCAGTTTTCTTTATAAAACAGCAATAAATTTTATGTCTTAAAATTATTTTTAATATTAAATAATAATATGATTACTTATTCTCACACTGGAATGATTTGATTTCTTTTAGACTATTAATTTTTTAGATAGCCCTCAGCAAACTTTTTCTTTCAAGTTATTAAAAGCTTTCCACGTCAGGGTGGTGCCGTCCAGACCCGTTCACTGCCACGCGCTGTTTTTCCCGCCAGTCCCAACATGGCAGACTTTTTCCGCCAATCCAAGATGGCGGAACTTTCCCGCCATTTCCCAAGATGGCGGCTACTCATTCCGCTTAATACCCGGAGAGGTCTGCGAAGGTCTGATCGACCTCCTCGGCGATCGCCTTGTACTTACTGCGCTCCTCAATCACCTCATCTGTCAAATGTTAGTAGGTGTTAGTTTGTTAGAAATAAACAATAGTACTATATGAGAGCTGGCATTAAAAAAATAATCAAATAAGAGAACCATTCTTATTGCAGAAAATGGTTCCCCAAATATTCAAGCCAGCTTCAACTATTTTGACTTACTCTGATTTATGTAATTAATTCGTTAATAAGTTATTTTTTATATTTCTTCTGAGTCATTACATTTTTGAAACAAATAACTTTTGCTTTCAGCTTATTCGACTTGAAATCTCTGTTATTTTCTCGTGATAAGTCGATTACTATGATATATTCGAATTGTGCGTGTTTCAGACCTATCTAGCGTCTGCTACGATGAAAGTAAATTGGAAAAGCATTTCTAATTACCATGCAGCATAATATAAAAAGCATATTTACTTTGTGCTAGCAATGTAAGAAAATATATTGGGTAAATAAAAGCCAGAACTATTCTACAAATGTTTCATCTACTCTACATCTGGTTGGTGCTAACTTATTGATAACAATAAAATAATAAATTAATATTCAAAGGCTATTTATTCTTTACAAAGGTAGGTACGTGCTTGTATGATGTAGGACCATAAAGCTGCTATGTTTAATAACTTCATTCTTCCAGAATTCCTGAATTTATCTTGCTAGGTACTTTATAGCTATTTATAATAGTTACTAAACTGTAATAACACTTCTATCTCTTTCTTCACCTTAAACTTAGAAATATTAATACTTTTTACAGAGATTTAATAAAAGAAATGTAAAATTCTACTGCCTACATAAGTAATAGTTCTTACATCTCACGAAAGCGAGTGAGTTTTACTTGTGTGTGTAGGTACGTGTATATGCACACGATGGTGTTATTTCTATCAAAACTTTTGGAAAACAAACAGTAGAAGCCACCACACATGTAAAGCTCACTCGCCTTCGTGAATTGCAACAACTATAATAAAATAAATAAAACAAAATAGAAGTAATAAATTATTTATTATATTATATTACTCGAAAATAAATACCGCCGTACATAGTATAGCTATGGATTTTAATACTTTAAATCAGGAGTATAAAATATAAAATTATGTCTATTCGGATGGTTTGTGAATCGCGGGTGGGTGGCAGTTCCGCGGCGTGAAGCTGGGGCTTGGGGGGCCCGCAGCGACCCCATGGGGGGTCAAAGGTGGCCCATGGCACCTTATTCCTTGAGGATGAGCTCGACGAAGGCGGTGTCGAGGTCGTCACCGATGTCCTTGTACTTCTCCTTCTCAGCCACAAGCTCGTCTGCGAGTTGAGATACCGTTAAGCATTTTTTATTTCACAGGTCTCGTCTCTATTTATGTAAGTAATAAGAGACAAGATGTGGAAAAATACAGTGTTTTCTAACTTTTAACAAGATTAAAGTATCATAAATTATTGCCACTGTAATTTCAGTAGTTTCACAATAAAGAAATTATTTACAACTTTGCGCAGAAGATGTTAGGTACAAATGGCGAACTTAATGCCATGTTTTAATTTAGAAAACACTGTATAAACTTAAATACAAATTATTTTTTCTGAAATTTATGTTAATCATAAATAAAGTAATTCTTCTAATTATACAATTCCTATACGAAGGGCCATCCTTTGATAAAGAAATCATCATCATTATAAAAGTCATCATCATCATTTTCATCACCATTATTTTGGTCGTGTCCAAATGATACGTTGACGATTTCCTGTGAATGGGTGTGTGCCTATTTTTAAACTCCTTCAAGTCAAGTTTTGAAGCGAATTAGTTTAGCATATTTTTAGGAAAACGTTTACATACTACTTTTTGCTATCGTAAATCGACGATATTATCACCTTCACGAATGTTATGAACGTATGTAAACGTTTACCATGAATCGAAGTAAATTAAATTAAGTAATTAATGAAAGTGCTTACATGTTGCGTCCTTGTTATTCCGAAGCCATGCGCTTCATGTTACCTTAAGCTCGAAAGGTTTCGACGACACATTAATTGAACATGCTTGGTTAATTGTTTTAGTGTTTCTTCTCTTTTATTTATCAAATAATGGGGTAATTTTAACTGTCAATTTAAATGCAGATGAAAAGCGAAGAGGTATAAACGCGCGCGTGGAGTTCAATGGCAGCACGTGCAGCGCTCGCAGACGCGTGTGGCGTGCACGGTGTGCGCCGGCGTCTTCAGGCCCAGGTCGTCGAAGGCGCAGTCCAGCTCGCCGCCGATCTCGTGGAACATCTCCTTGCCGGCGATCAGATCGTCTGTGGACACCGCCGCCGTCAGTCCCGTCATCCAGCCGGGTTAGTCACACACACGCATGCTACGCGGGGCTCTACTCTACATCGCGTCCATTGAAACTATTCCATCAGCTATTTTTCCTCCTTTATTTACAAAATATAAAACGATAGCCTCGACGATACATTGACCGCGTTTAGGAGCTGCGCCGTCTTGCAGTTTCTTACACTAATACATCCCGAACTTTAAAATTATGTCAACCGTTTACCAGGTTATACTTCAGTTTCTTTCGCGTGAATTCCGACGAGATTGACACGGTAATAGAAACGGGACGCCATATTCCAAAGTCCAAACATTAATTAATAAAAAAAATAGATTCATATTACGATGCATATTTAACAACAGTTCGGATGTGTTACAGGTTGAATTTACGAGAGCGCGATAGAATCGGATTGCGTTACGGCGCGGGCGCTGCCTCCGCGGGGGCCGGCGCGGGCTCGGCGGGCGCGGGTGCCGCCGCTGGCTCCGGGGCCGGCGCGGGCGCGGCGGGGGCCTCCGCCGGGGCCGCAGCGGGGGCGGCCTCGGCCGGCGGCTTCGGCCGGCGGGGCCGCGCCGTCGGCCGCGGGCGCGGCGCCCTCGGCCGGTGGAGCGGCGCCGTCGGCGGGAGGCGCGGCTCCCTCAGCGGGCACGGCGCCGTCGGCGGGCGGCGCTCCTTCGGCGGGCGGCGCTCCTTCGGCGGGCGGCGCTCCTTCGGCGGGCACGGGCTCCGCGGGCGGCGGCGGCGGCGTGGGTTCCTTGGGCGGCGGCGTGGGCTCCTTGGGCGGCGGCGTGGGCTCCTTGGGGTGCAGGCGCTCGTACTCCTTGCGCGCAGCCTCGACCTGGCGCTCGTTGGGGTCGACGCCCGGGATGAGCTCGACGAAGGAGTCGTCGATGTCGTCGCCGATGTCATTGAAGCGCTCGATCTCGTTGATGAGGTCGTCTGCGGCAGGCGAGAGCGTGAGCTCGGCGGGTGCTGCATGCTCACACCGCTCCATGCTACTCTACCGGGTTCATCGGTACCATGCCCGTGCTTCGGAGTTCGGACGATGGTATTTACAGTGCGACAGGTCGATTTCATATCGCTTCTTTCGACGACGTTACTTCGGTTCGCCCGGATTGATTTAGTCGATGAACGTTACTCGATGGATATTATTTCGTTTCGAAGATTTACAAATGAATGATTTGATCGGTTATAGCTGATAGAATCGATATGAAGTTAGCACGGAAAGGGGTCGATGAGAGGTTCACTCGTATTAGTAAAAAAAAGAAAACGGTTTTAAAAATAATAATATATATTTATAAACACTTGTGTTAGAATACTCTTAAAATCATTAATTTATTTCTCACGAACTTACTATCAATTCATTAATCAATAACATGTAAAACGTTATCTCGTAAGCGAACGTTTTGTTTGACAAGGGTGCGCCGCGGCGCGGAATTGCCAGCTCTAGGAAGTAACAACCTGCGCACGGATCCTCGACAGCGTTACAGTTTGGAATGGTCATCATTTATTCTTCAAATCATTTAAATAAATAATAACAATACTCAATTTTATGACACAAGAAAAATCATCCGCGAAACAAAATAGAATATCGAATACTTCATAGCAAAGTATATTCTTATAAATATCAATATTTTACGTGTTACCATACCACTCATTAAATAAAATATCTAATCTCTTTCTAATATTAAGTAAATAAGAGTTCATTATAAATAATAGCAAACAGTGCACTAATTATTATTGCCAATATCATTAATTAATGTTTTGCACTACGTACGTACGACAAGTGAAATCATAATTAGGAATTGGAACTGATTATTACAAAAACAATAAATTTGTTCTACGCTTTGCGATATAAGAGAATGTACAAGTGATGTGCAACTTTTACAATATCAGTCCTAGTGACTTGTTGAGTATACATTTCAAACATTTGGACCCATTTTGGAATGTTGACGTTTTATCCTATAACTAGAAGTGCCATAAGAAAGCGAGTTGTATAGCTGCATTCATCAAAGAAAGTCGAAAGCTCGACATTTACAGGCACGCTTGACATAAATGACTATAATGAAAATAAAGTTCTCAACATTTATACGGAAAATATTAGTAGAATAATTTGTGTATCATTAAAACAAAAATTGCACATGGCAGTGGTGTCTAGCGAACACTCGTTCTCGACGTTACATTAAAAAGCGGCTGGCAATTACTCTAACTCTAGAAACATCTAGTCGCCCGCCCACCTCACTCGGTCTACCGCGTCATTTTGTAAAAAAACTATGGAAAAATAACAACTCATCACTAAATAGAGCCAGTGTTTTCCGGAGGGTTAAATAAAGATGGCGGCTCGTGTCACAGTGACAGCTGTCAAAGCGCTAGTGATGTGCGAGTGTCGATGTCGATGTCGATATGGGTGGCGCGCGGGTGAGGGTGGCGGGCGAGGCGCGAGGTGTTCACATGTTCTGGATGTCGTGGAGCGTGGCCTCCATCTCCTCCTGCAGAAGTTTGCTCTTTTCGCGCTCGGCCACCAGGTCGTCTGCAAGGTGCGACGTGGCCACGGTCAGTCCACACACAAACACGTAACATGCTTCGAACTTTCATTGCATATCGCGATATCACTGGTGACTCTTTAATTACAAACAGTTTGCTTTACTTTTCATGGTGCAATATTTATTGAGAATTCTTTTATCAAAGAAAATAAAGCACCGTATGATGCTAATTAATTTCTTAAACGAATAGGATCACATCAATGAAAGTTCGAATATATTAGAACAGAAAAACGACATTGAAAAACCATGCCAGAATACTAGGAATTATAAAACATCGAAGGGTCGAGCATCTAGTAGGACACATTTAAAATACATGCTCACGAAATAAAAATTGTGTGCAGAATTAAGATTCCAATACAATTATAAACTGCCCGCAAATTAACTGGAGTCGATTAGATTTCACAACGATAACTATACAAGGGCGTTCAGTTAATTATATTGGAGTCTATGTTCTGCCTAATAAAATCAAAACTAGAAAAACTGTTACTATGAAAATAAGAAAAAATAAGCTTGATATTATAGCGAAAATGAAAGTAAAAAAAAAGCTTTCAAATCTATTGTACAGCATTGAACTCAAGAAGCCAGCTCTAATGACGGCTGAGATGAATTTAGGTGCACTTTTATGTATAAAGCTTTGGTTATTCTCAAACTATGTTATCAACTTGACTTCAGAGATTTGTATTCGACTTAACCGTCTGCTGTACGTTGTAATATATCTGGAGAACCTTGAAAACTAGCATTAAAATGTAATCATTAATACGATTTCACTTTGAAATATATTATACTTTTTATTCGTAATATCATAAATATTTGTTTTTGCTTTGTCCGTCATAAATAAATGAGGTAAATTACCTTCAAGCCTGTCGACCTCCTTCTGGAGTTTCTGCACGGAGCGCTCAGCGAACTCAGCGCGAGCTTCAGCCTGTAATTTTTAGGGTCTCTTTTAATATTTGCTCATTTGGGAAACAGCCTATTTTTCAAAAAAGCCAATGTAATATGAAATAATCAAGGCTCTAATAAATTTAACGATATACAATTTACAATATTAACTAATTTAAACAACTTTAATTAGAAATTATAAACATTTATATGGTCAATTTGACATACAATAACTTTACATTTATATTCGTAACTTTATAATTTTAAAAAAATAGGCTATTTCATACATTATCTCATGCAAATTATCTTTTTTAAAAAGCAAATTAAATTAACTCCAAAAAACTTTGAACTTTACAAATTAAATTAGGTTTAACATAAAAACAACACTATGTTAGACATGTAAAGCGACCACGCCCATGCATTTTACCTTCACCGATAGCAGCTAAGTGCCGTGGGCCGACACTACACTACAATACACATGTTTACCCTTTAATTACCTTAATTACAAGTAGCTTTATGAACATGAGGAAAGAAAGTAGATATATCTGGTCGCATTGATTACATCACATTGTTAATTAGTCATTAAAAAAATATTTTACAATATCTATTGGTTTCTAATAAACATTAACTGATTGACGTTAAGTTATTCAAATCAATTGCGTATTAAATTTATATGCTCATAAAGACATTTACTTTTAATTAAGTCCAATGCAATTTGGTAATTGAATAATCATGACTCCAAAATAAATAATTACTTCGCTTGGTTGAGCAACTCGAGTTTGTTTGATATTAAACATTTGCAATTCCAGTGGACGTCACTAATATTTAACCAATAGGGACTTTTAATATTGAGTGCGTACATCAATGCTACCAGACGGCTGCGGGTGAGCACAACTTACTTGCGTCAGTTTCTGCGAGAGGCTGTGGATCTTATCCTCGACGTGCTCGCGCGACGCCATGGCCTATCCACACAGGACGGATTACTGACAAGCCACCGCGTGCCACAGTTTTTGCCCATCATGTGACTGTACCGCTTTATCATGCGATGGAAGGTTCTCTTGATAGAGACACTCAAAATCTTCTTAACAATGTTTGAGACTCGAAAGCTCTCGAAAATGACGGAGAATGCCTTGTACTGGCTGAAGTGCACTTTAAACTGTTAATTTTCAAATTTTTATGGACCTGTCAGTAAAATGACGAAATAATCTTAATAAATGAAGGTAATAAAACAACCGCGAACATTTACCATGACATAGGAATGGCATCTAGCACATGAAAGAACAAATGAAAAAACAAGGATGAAAATAAAAGCATGTTGAATGAAGCGTACAATCACAAGATAGGCAAAAGGAACATACATGATAGATACAGAAACAAATTATTATACACATGTAATAGAGAAGAGTCCTCGTAAATAGATACATAGATGAAGCACCAACCGATGTCAGCCAGACTACACGGACCTACACCGACACAGTAGCCGAAACTATATAAAGAGACAAGATAAGATCCATACACAAAGGGATAGACACTCTTTATATAGCGATGGATACAATTTTCCCAACAAGAATGGCGATGGCATGAACCTATCTACAACCTTTACCAATGCTATCTACGGCTTATTTCCGCCTCGGCTGTCCGTTTTACCTCTTTCAGTTGTGCGTCCAGCAGTTTGACTTGGCCCTCGTATGTCTCTTCCCTTTGCGTCGCCTGTGATTATTGTTTATTAACGAAAAACATAAAACAGCGAAAACGAAAAACCATGCTGTACCGCATAGCTTCGTAGAGCTCGTTGGAGCTTTACTACCACTATGAGATACCGAACAACGGCTAAAAGTGGGGACACTAAAACTAGGTTATACGGATAAATAACTGTTAGAAAAGGAACATACACGGCAGCCAAATAAAGAAAAATCAGTGTGGAGAAAACGGAACACGCAAGTACGCAAGACGCACTACGCACTGTGCATATTTTACCATAGCTTCTTTTTTATTCTGGCATCGGTTTCGAGGATGGTAAAATAGGCACAATGTCTACACTCTATAGAGGGTATGTACATCAGAATGCGGTTAGGCAAGCGTACGAAAACTCTCGCGTAAGTGAACCGATCTCGTTCATTCACACCTCCTTTAGGCGGGTGGTGAGGGTTTTGATCTGATTTTTGTACTCTTCTTCGCGTTGGTTGGCCTGCGTGAAACGGGTTACACTTGGTTACTCATCAGTAATGGAATTCATCTAATCACTATCTCGAAGGATGGCTTGTTCGTTAGAGGTATAGACCTGATTAGCATATCAAATGTTTTCCTAGCTTTTATAAGCTTGGCCTAGAATTTAAATTGAGTAGGTATCAACTCTCGAAGATAAGTAAATTTTATAGTTATCCTACTTGAATGGTTGGTGCATCATATAAACTGGTATTTCAAGTATTCGACGGAAATTGAATCTAGGGTCACAGTAGCTATGATCCCTAGCTCTTTTTCTTTAATCTAGCTCAGATATAGTTAAGGGGGTTTAAGAGTTAGCAAATCTGTTTTACCTTCTCCTCGGAGACTTCCAGGGACTTCAGGTTGTTGCCGACAACGCGCAACTCCTCCTCAAGCTCGACGATTTTGCTGAAAATTAACAAAAGGAACCAATCAATTTCTACTGAAACATAAAGGAACTTATTCAGTTACTAAAATCAACGATCGATCTTGAAACATTTAATTGTCTAGTAATTACAAGTGGGTCGGAAATTTTGAAGGGCTTCTCAACGATATCAATTTAATAATAAATTCTTTGATCGATGACCCAAATAGTCTTTATTTAACTTATGGTGCAACAGTTAATATAAAGCGCGTGACTGTTAGATGTATGTAAATTGTTAATCGTAGTTATACTATTGTTAATATTGACAGTTGCCAAACTATGTCGTTTAAAGGTCTCGAAAGTAATTTAACTAATAAACCAACAATGATGGGCAACTATCAACAAAAATATGCATGCAATGGTTATAATGATGAAAAAAGTAATTCAATTTAAAATGTTATTTGCGTCACTGATTAGATGGAAACGTTTATCTTTCTTGCTAAGAAACTGATAAGAATTGCAATTGCAATTTACTCTGTGCACTTTCTCGTTTTCACTAGCCGCTCGTACTAAAGCATGAAATTATTCTTTAGTGAATTCTAGTGATCTAACGGCTGTTTCAACAAGAATTCATTCATCAAAATCGAATACATGTTTTTCGAGATTATTCGTTGCTAGTTCTTTTGTTTCCGTATAAATCTTATAACTTATGATTGCTTTTTTTTTTTTTGCTTTATTATTGTCAAAGTAAAAAATCTATTTTTTTTATTCCAATCAGTGATGCGATATTAAAGTCTTCGTAAATGAGCAAGATTTGTCAAATGTCTGCACTATTCAAGACATGAATTCGGGAATAATGTGCTCCTATGATATTGAGTATCAATAGGAATATATTGCTGTATCTTTGCCAGATGTTGCTCGTCTACAAGGACCCAGGAGACGAATTTTTGAAGCATTAGAATTCCAAATCGCATACAGATTTCTAATTTGGTGAACTCTACATTGAACAACTTTTCATTGAAAAGGCACTCAATAACTTTCCTATCCGTTATTGAGTTCCGGTTTAGAAACTAAAATATGGGTTGAATTACTAGATTTGAGTGTCTTTTGAGTGGTGTAAAAATGCTTGAAATTGTGAGTACTAAGGTGTCTGTCTAAAGTTCACAGTTCACGTGCCCAATTTCTATTTCCAATTGGAATCCAAACGCTTCAAGATCCCGCGTCCAGGGTCAGGTCGGCACTCACCAGTCGCTCTGCTCCGCGCGCTCCTCGGCGCGCTCGAGGTCCTGCTCCATCAACACGAGTTTGCGCGCCACCTACCGCCGGCCGAGCGTTAGTACTCGCCCACACGCACACACACAACACACACTACGCTACCGGGACGGGCGCCGCTCTCGAACCGCAGTGCACGGGTGCTGCCAGACTGACTAGCGCCTCGGGCACATGACACAGCAAATCTCTAATGTGCAAGGACGTGTCAGGAATAGGATATGGAAACTAATTCTCAAAGGTTTTCAAGGACAAATTTAAATTAATTTTGCAACTGCAGATTCTTCTACAGAATGCAAGTGTCATGGCGTCTGCACCGGGCGCTTTCCTGCTAAAATTAAACTCTAGGGAAGCAAACACGATATATTCCAAACAAAACAAAATCGGCGAATTAGAAAAGGATCACACAAGCGGGATGTCGAGAGCGGCGTCAGTACTCCATATTAATAAAAAAGTAATAAACGAGGGTTGTCCCAAAACATTTAGTTCTAAAATTTAATTTTTCAAAAACATTAAAAATCTAAGTGCTATCTAGTGCATTATCGTAATCGTTATGTGATGTGTGCGCTTGCATATGTGCGGCACGCATACGGCCAGTAATTCTGGTGTAATGCGGTGCATATCTGAAAACGAAAATTGCCCTATACCACACATATTTCCTGACAGCCTATCTACAGCCACGTTTAGAGATACACACACTGAAGACAGAAGTTTAGTCGGCACATGGACATGATAGTTAACATTTGCTTAGAAATATCCATGAGATGGGGCAACCCTTGTTTTAGTCTGACACTGGAAGGAGAACGCCTCTTGTGTTCCACGAGAGTCCAAAAGCGGCGCTTTCCTATCCAGTTCTTAAACTAAGTAGTGTTACCGTTTCGTATGCAAAACAGTAACATCGACTAAATTTTAATGTTATAGCAGATGCAAATAATAATAAAAAAAATAATAAAAAAAAACTCCTTCACTGCTTCAAACTCGTAACCGACCTAGATTGGGACATGCAAAAAATAAATGAGAGCCAATGTTAGAAATACCGATGTAGGTAAATCGGGTTACGGTGCAGCGATGTTAAGAATGCAAATGAACAACCATGCAGAACGGTGGCGAAAACTTGCAAACAAGGCTTTAGGACCACTGCATTACCGCTCAAAGTTGTCTGACGGCGTGAAATAAGAATATTACAAGAAAGTTTCTAAATATGGATCGAACGGTATTCTTATTTCGACGTTGTCAGGTCAGAATCGAGGGAAGCATTGGTCCTTCAGCGAAATTGGCGGAAACCTACGATTCACCGGATTCGGCACGCTCCTCCGCGCGCTCCAGGTCAGCCTCAACCATGGCCAGCTTACGAGCGACCTGAAGGCACCACACCACACCACATTATACAACCGAAATACCATTTACACGCTCATTAATGTCACGGACACTCGCTATAATAGTGCATGTAACTCTTGAGAAACTTGAGCTACACCCTTCTTATATGGAAGTAATGCTTATGTAACAACATATGCGACGAAGGAGACTGGTTCTGCCTTAAAAGGCGTTCGAGCCAAGATCAGGCGCAATACGACTCCTTCTTGGGACTCTGACTTTTACGACTGCGTTCACCGCGCAGGGTCATATGTCAGGGGAATTAGGACATTATTATAACTTAACCATATGGTTCAGAAATGGCTTTAATGACAGCCATATAGGTATAGCGTTGCCGTGTTAAGTATCAATTGTAAATTAAAATTATCTAATCGCAAATTTTACGCGTGAGATAAAACAAATATAGAATAATAAAATAATTGAGCAATAATGAATTCGGTGGTTACCAATTCAATAAATAAACAATTTGAACATTTATAGGCACACACGTTAATGCAGGAAAATGTTGTTAGTATCATTTCCAAATAATATTTACATTATAATTATGTTTTTAATAGGGAATATTTTTAGACATTGCGTGGAACAACAATGTTATTAATTGTGTCAGTAGGAAAACATGGCAATTCCTTGTCTGCCTGCATGTTGAGGAAAGGTAATTAATTATAAGAACAACTCATTAAAACGACTGGTACACACAAATATGAATAACCTCATATGACATCTAAGTCACACAAGCATTTTTAAAGACGAATATTAAACAGCAAAAACCAAAACTCACAGGATTTTATTCTGATTTGGAAGAACAATTAGTTACGCACAGGATTGTATTTTGTACTCTATGAAGCAAACCATGCCAAACCAAACGACATCTAAACTCCATCATAAAGACCTCATCGTATTTCTTGTCGGCTTCCTCAGCGAGGAACCTGGCCTCCTTCAGCTGGTTCTCCAGGGCGTCCATGCGCTCCTCATCGGCCAACGACCTGTTCTCGAGGACCTTGCGGGCACTGAATCCCATAACACAAATGTTGAGTAAAACATCGACAAGGAACATCCCTACCTAGACGCTGTTATAATTACGTAGACTATTCTCAAGGGTGACCCAAAGTTAGAGGACATGCAAGGAACAACACTAAACATTGGCGTAGGACACGTAAAGCAACAAATTATCTATTTTATGCTGTGAAGAAAAACGTGATTGAAACGAGCAACAATAAATGTCTTGCTCTTTTCAAGCTTATTATTAATATCATAAATGATTACGCAGAGAAATTAAAATGCATTCAGCACTTTAATTTGTCAAACATACGATTTTAATCAGCTCTGAATAACACACTCATAAATAAAAATAAGAACTTACTGCCGCTTAATTGAATATGAATTTACATTAATTATCGAAGATATTTACACTTGCTAATAGAACGTGTTTAAAATTCAGAGCTAATTTTGCTAGAAACATGTTGAATAGTATCGTAATTCATAACGGCAAGTTTGATTTAATAATATTAAAGGTTTAACAATAATAAATTACTTTTTTATCCATCAACTTGTTTCTAAGATTTGGATAACTTATAAATTAAAACATTATTCGATTAACTGCGTAACATATTCATTGTAACATTAATAATTATGTCAAAACTAAATGTTAAAAATAAATTATTATGTTACAACGTATATTTTATGCAGGTCGTGGCGATTGTGCTGTTCTATCGATAGATGTCTCGTCACTATTAAATTTTCAATTTGTAATCAAACATAACGGTTATCAATGGAACAGCACAATTTTTTTTCGTGGTAACATTTGTGCAAGCATTCACCTCTTCATATTTCTTGTCCGACTCCTCGGCAATGAGCTTGGCCTGAGCGAGCTGGGCCTCCAAGATGGCGACGCGGTCATCCTCCATGTTGGTTCTGTTCTCCAGCGCCTTGCGTATTCTGGTTAGTGCGGGGCCAAACACATGCATGTTATAACATCGATTATGTTAACTTATCGATAATGATATGAAGTGAAAACATCACGCTTCAAGAAAAAGTTCTGATAGCTACAAACTTTACATCTTGAAATCTTAGTGTGTGGTTGGCGAGTTAATTTCTTTATCTTTTATAGATAAGATAAAACTAAACATAAGAAGAAAGAAAAACAAGTAGCTGAAACTATGGTGGTTATGGGCAAAATAAAGAACACACATGCATTAAAACAAGAAAACGTTTGGATTTTGGTTTAGTGGATCTAAAGAGAGATATTTCCTAACTGTGGCATAAACTAACCTTATGTGCAAACTCTAGAGAAATTAAAATAATATGTGTCTAAATCTACATTACTAAAATTAATTAATGTTCGAAAATAAATAATCTACTCAAGTTATTTTTTGACTACGACTTCTTGATTGAAACTTAGGCGACCCTGGCATTTTATTTAATTCGTGCCAGTTTGTTTAAAAAATAACCGCCTAATATTTTTAAAAAGAAATAAAAACTTTAGATAGCGTCACTTTTTTTTTATCGACAAAAAATTCTGGCCAGTTGGCCATAAACCAGTTCGGACTCACCGTTCGGACTCATCGGCAGCCTGGCTGGCCTCGGCCAGCTTGGCTGTGGCGGTGGCGAGACGCTCCTCGGACCTCTCGAGGTCCTCCTCCAGCAGTTGGATGCGTCGGTTCAGGGCAGCCACCTCGGACTCGGCCTGGAAGGCAACAACTCTATGAAAAAGTAGCTGATGAAAACTTATCCTAAACTGTTTATTAGATGTCACAACTACAAAACTCATGTTTTTAATATGGAAATGGATCACGTGATTCTTGAAATCTTAAAATACGTAATCAACACCTGATAAAACAACTCTTGCAGTTGCATTTAATGGCAATGTTAAAATAATTTGAATCTTTGATTCAGCGTTTACAAGATATCACAACTAAAACCTTAACATTTTCAACTATTGAGTGTGTGAGGAGCTAAAAAATGTATTAAGTGTAATAACATGAATATAACAATAAATATACGAGCCGGTGCGTCTTGTACTCATAGTGTGCCAGATTTTCATTTAGTCAGGTGCAACGTACAAATGAGGCCAATCTTTGCTACGCTACTACATTGTTTTGATAATGTACCTACTCCTATTTACAGCTAAGTTTGTCTTCTAGAAGGTAAGAACTATTCTGTGAAATGTATCTATGTTTCTTAAGTTATGTATTTTATATTTTTCTAATAAACAAATTTTCCATAGGTAGGTACTCAAATCTCGAGTGCTCCTAACCGTGAATCATTTGCCCGTTGGCCACCGTTTGCCCACGCCACCAATAACGTAATGTGGTTACTTCATCTAGTTTATTTTTGGATGCTTTGTGATTGTTATTACACACTAAACAAATTGTTGCTTTCAAGAATGTGCTTTTTCGATTTATTGGGTAATTCTTTGACACCTTTTATGACGAGAATATTTAAATAATTGTGAAAATATTAGTCATTCTGGCTAATCATTACTATTCTGAGTAGTAGTTAGTCAACTGTTTCTAAAAGGTAATATTATTTTATATTTTTATTTCCTGATCTCAACATTGTCGGTAAGTATATTAAGCTAGGTAATAATAATAGGCCTATTTATATTTAATACTTTATACCAGCTATTTTTTAAAAATAGTGATGTAGCAATCGTTTATTCAAATTTATCGATGTTTGAAAGATTTCCAAATATGCCATAACAATGTAAGGTCTCGTGTCATGTCATAGGCATTGTTACCCGCAGAAACACGAGACGTGTCATGAATCTAAGGTCCGCTGGAATATTTTGCATCGTTTATTTATATTCAGCAAGCCACATGCTGGTGACATCACGCGTCCTTGTCGCGAGGAAGCACAAACGAGTCCCAGTTTCTCCTCCTTTTATCCTGTGTCGTCATGCCGATGCTAATAATAGTCGTGACGGGACTAACGATTTGCACTCGCGGGTGTATCACTACAACGCATTCTTTATTCAACATTAGCGGCAATTAACCAAGCCACTACGTGTAACAATCTAGCCGTAGAAAAAATCGTATCAACTCTCGTTTCTACTGGCTCAACTATTTTTCTTTCTTATTGAAGCATTTACATGAAATATACATAATCGTCTTACGAAGACTTTGGCTTGTGGCGATGTGTGGTCACCTTGAACTTGATAGACATAATTCAAATTGACGCGAAGGCTATTTTGGGCTTAGAAGCCAGTTAAGCCGCCGATCTTATATAAAGGTTAAAGACCTCATCGACAACATAATATTTGTCGGTAAAAACAAGTGCATCCACGGTCAATAAATATTCCATTCTCTGTTCATGCATGTGCCATTTAAAGTTACAGTCGATTGCATAACATAGTTCACTTTCATGGATGGTCAAAATGCTTTGTTTAATTTTTGTGGGATCGGTGCAGGACCATTGTGTGGTGTCCATTGAGCGACGCAGTACAATAGCCTGTCCAATAGCAACGCAACCCAATCACGCAAAGGGTCACTCAATTTGGATGGCATGCTTGAAAACTACCTACCCGAGGCTAAATTCCTTTCTATTCAATACATCATCGTTATTAATGAAGACAAGTCATACGAAATGAAATGTTTTCGCTTACAGAAAGTTATCAATTTCAAGTATATGGCACTGATAATAATGATTCAACAATTTCGTCGTACCGGTTTCACTAAATGTACTTGTATGGGTGCATGAAGCCGTTTAATGAAATAAGTCATTATTTCGACCTGTTCGTTTATCAGTTTCTAATGACTTGCATTCCTTTCCAAATTATATGACGTATCTTATTTAGGTGGATACTCTTTGGTTTCTTAAACTTTAGCTATAAATCTAATAAGATCTTTTAATAAAGTCGAAGTCAGCGTTATTTGTTCAGCAAACAGTTTGAGTCAATGTTTGTTTACGCCCACGAGCGCAGAAAAATAGATTTGTGCACGAAAAATTAATTTGACACGTTTGGTTGCTTTAACTGCTCAATCTATATTATGTTCGTTTTCGGTTGCAATTATCGTAGATTCACCATAATAATTAAAGTCTGACTCGCCTGACCGAATTATCTTGAGTCTTCTTATCATTTGATACAGTAATCCGATAAGATTTTAAAAATGGAAAGAACTCGTGTAGCCATGTAATTTTGTGCTCCGTGGTAATTATGGCTAATTGGAATAGATGTTATCCTCCCGTGTGCACGTAAATAGGCTCGGTAGTACTAGCAGCAATAGGTGTTTGTAATCGGCAAGGGCATGCTGCCGTATTGGGTTACGTCATGTGGCGATAACGGCGAGGAGCCCGGACACGCCTTCGCGGCGCCAGCGGTCCTTCGAGGACGTCCGACAACAGGAATGCATTGAGGGTGTTAGAACTTTACGAATCCAGACGGCTCGCTCTACATGTGCCACAATAGACCGGTATACGACCTCCAACGCAACCAAACCTGTTACGTGTAACAGAAACCGGCACCCGACCACGTACTGGATAATTATGTAAAACACCAATTTCACGAAAGCGTTCACACCTCGAAACAACTTCGATCGGTAAACCATCCTCATTTTAGGAGCAATACTAAAATCACCAATCGAAAGAAATACACTATGAAAAGAATTATTGTTCGCTATCTCTTTCTTTCCTATTGAACCGAGATGAATCTGAAAGAGAAGCAAACATGCGTACGTTGCCTGCACACCTAAGTATGGCCGGACATTACTCACTATAGGTAGATAGTACGAGACTAGTGATAACTTCCATATTATAAATGACTGGTTTCTAACACAAAATTGAATGCACTTTGTCCGAAATTTCACCGAACACATCACAATTAAATAGCACGTTTTCTTACTTCTTCTCTTCGCATTATTTCCACTTGTAATCGTTTGTGATACTCCTCGCACTCGTCCTTATATTTCTCCATTTCCTCTTTTGTCTGACGCATTTTCTTCTTCAATACGTCCAGGATCGTTCCTTGCTGCATATTTGTCGTCATTTTTATGCACTTTTGTGTTTTAATTGAATACTTATGAGCTAAAAACTAGAGACACCTTCGCTCTACTCGCGAAAATGCCAACTGACTGCCTCGCTCGTTATTGCCCCGTATCGCGGAGATGGGCTCGGCACGAATGAACACAGCCGGCGAATAAAATGGCCGCCGATCACACGCTGCAACTTAACCGCGGCGACACTAGCCACACTCGTTGTGTGCGACGAATAACAATTGATCCACACTAACTTTAATGGAACAAGTTAAATTAATTTAAAAAACAACAATTATTCCCAGAAATCACACATAGACTGACAGACTTTGACAGCGAAATGAGCGAATGACTAAACGTCATTTCACAAAGGCACAATCGACCGTGCAGCAAGCAGCTCCACCTGTTGAGGCTGAGTCCAAACTGCTTGTTTCCCGCAGGGCCAAAACCAAGTAAAACTCAAAATTATGGGCTGGGTGATACGGTTGAACGACTTTACACAAAAAACGACGGAAGTAGAGAATCAAAATGTAGCGAAGGGCTTTTATTGAAGAGTAAATTTGAATAGTGGGAAATTACCTTGCAAGAATAATGCTATTCATGAAATAGGACAAATAGTAACATTGTGTTCATTGATTCATTTTTCTTCTTTTAATAATGTTTTTCAATGGTAGAAACAATATTATGAAAACGCTTAAGAAATTATTTAAGTGCCAGTAATAAGAATGATTCATGTTGGGCTCTCTAATGAGATTGCAAGTTACAACAGCGCCATCTAGTTATGAAATTGTAAATTATGGGCGACATCGCAGAGACACCCAACTCGTCCAAACTACACCCAGCCGAAAGCATTCTGTCACGAGCAGCCGAAATGTTTATGACGTCATCGTAAAAATATGCCACTGTTTAGTATTCCGTTATGTGACCAAGCAGATTTACAAAAAGCAGTCGGTAAAACAGATTTCAGGTTTGGTGAGTCTGAACTGAACCGAAAAAATGAGAAATAGAATATTTTTACAATGTGATATTTAAAATTCTAAGAGACATCCTGTTTCTAAAGGATTTTTTTTGGATTTGTTTCCGTTTACGATGATAATTCGGCTTTTAAACATCACATGACATTGAATCCTAAATTATTTAATAGCAGCTGTCTTTAAAAACCTGTACTCTATTAAAAACAATATAATACTTATTTCTTATTAAAAATAATGACAAAGGCATAAAATTGAAATGTGATCGGCGAACCACCTCTTTACATCCGACAATGAGTCAGATATTAGAGCATTCAGTTAAATAGGATAGGTAAGTTAATTTTATTGACCTTGGCTCTTTCCAGACACACCGGTCAAACACACTTGTGATGCTTTTATTCAAATACACGAATTAAATGGCTAAGTCTGCGTCAGTGACTACTTAATTATTGTTTGAACAGAATAGTGTAATTAAAAATCAAGCATTCTTATTTTCTAACTAAAGAATATCCGGATTCAAGCCAACATCAACCTTCCTTAAAGATATAAATGATGATTTATTTGTTTTTGAAAAAGGGCACATCGCTATTGTATCATTAAGTTCAACTATTTATGTTTATAGTATTAACATAAACTTTGCTTCTTCAGATAAGGTTGATGACTTAACGCTATTATTATATTTTATAGAAAGTCGGTCAACTGTCGATCACGTGAGCCATATGGCAGTTGTCCATTAATCAGAGCCAAAGGCTGGCTAAAGTGAACAGTACTTATAAGGGCATCATCGATACTTAAAGTACAAACCAATGATGCAATTGTTGGGTCAACAATAAATCGAAATTTAAATACGCAACAAAATATTGTCATTATTATCATACACTTCATAAAAATGGTACGCGTTAAATAAGTAATTAACGCGTATAAAGTTATAATTAAAAAAATAGAACGTGCTAACACTGTTGTATTACAATGGCTCAAATTAATATAATTGGATATATGCCCGATTAAATTAGAGCAAATCAAAATAGCACAATTACACATTATCCTAATGACTACAAACACGAATTTGTGTTAACTTTTATAAATAAATAATAATTGTCTTAAAGAATGTGAATTCGTCTGACAATAAAGCCTAATTAATTATGTAAAGACAATTACAATAATTATATCACTTTCTTAGAATGATACACGTAGTTCTGTATATCTTCTTAGTATCATGATCATGTAGACGCATTTGTAGACGTAACAAAAATTGAACAGAAAAATTAGAGCATAAAAAGATAATTTGAAGTCTGTCTGTTAGAAATTTCGTATAATGAGCATTGTAAAATGTATTCAGATTAAGCGAAGTTAACACCATAGAACCGTAACATGCAACTGTTTAAGTACTACCATGTACTACTTTAGATTTCAACTGATTCGATTCCAATTTTGCTGGAAACACGATTACGAATTGCATACCTAATATCCTAGAAATCTAAAACAATGAATTATATGCGTGTAAACAATGTAAATAATGAAGAACTGCAGTTATACTTGGTGAACACCGATGTAATAGCATCATGTTAATGTATCAAGTAAATTAATGACTCCAATAAAACGCATAATTATTTTTTAGAATTAATGTGGTTATTTTAATCAAAGATGTAACGGTAAATATACATAATAATATGTATTTAATAAATAAATAAAATAAATAATTTGACTGTGCAGTTAATTCTTCTACGTTTTACATAAAAATACATGTAGCAACGAAAATATCATAACAATATTTTTACACGCATGTGCGTAAACAGACGTTTTAATTGCATGTGCATAATAAACAACGCTTTAAACAAATGCATAATCCTATGAATAAATCATAATGTTTGCTAATACGAGAAACTTTACCATTGCGTCAGTATTTCCTCTCCTAATCATAATTTGCTTTTGTAAACGAGTCTATTTTATTGTTAATAAGTCCACGAGTAAATAAATATTGATGTGGATATTTTGTATTTATTTCAATAATATTCTCTAGGTAATATAGTTAATCAAACGATTTATTCTTCATTAAAAAACAATGAAATAAATAAAAATAACGATACAGCAAATAGACTGCGTGCGTTATCGAACAATCGATATAAAATTTTGTGGAATTTCGCGTTTGCGCATCACTAATGTTTATTCGTGAATAATTTAGAAAGTTGTAAGACTTGTGAAGTTCTGATTGGTAGGTAGTCAGTAGGTACTGAATGCGCCCATTTCGCAATTTATGCACGTTTAATACCTACCAGGTTAATTTCTTTCATTTGCATAAAACAGAATTGCCGAAGTGGAAATTATCATACATTATTCTAAATACGTCGTACATCTAACGGCTACAAAAACCTAAATTATATTTTAATGCTCTATTTTTCCAGCTTCGTTATTGTTCGTGACATCTTACCATCCTGTTATCTAGCTTTCAAAACATTTGTAAATGCTTATGATATGGTTTGAGATAAATATATTTTAGAAATCGTGCGTACCTATCTCCGTTTTAGTAAACAGACTGATAATAAAGTTAAATATTTCCTGATCTTCTCATTTTATGAAACTAGAAATTTACGTAAAAATAGTAAGTTGAGAAACAGTTCATAATTTTATTCATTGGCTTAGTCTATTTGATTATGTTTAGTTGTATATAACCATCCAATTAATGTTGATAAATCTGAAAGATCTGGATGCGGATGAAGACTAATTATGATTAATAATCTTCGGATTAATAACTAATTAAGATTTTCAGAGTCGTGGTTAAAAAGAGATTAACAGTTTTCTTAGCTACCTAACTTATTTGAAATTACCAGTGCTAGACTGGATAAGCCAAATGGGTACAACGTACTTTATGACAGCATTCAAAGTTCAATGATTGCTTGAATATAAAAGTCTACACTAAGGGAAAAGGGGAAGGGCATGCGGGTCCCACGTGCGACCATCGATTACAACGACATCTAGCGGCGATGAAGGCAACCGACCGAGTAAACATTGTCAAACGAAATGTCAGTGGCTCAGCTGATCGCCACGCGCGAGATCGCCTCTAGAAGCCTCTCTCCAAGAAGCAACATCGACGTTTTCCCGGATTAAAAATAGTTCTGTACGCATTTGGCCCACGCTTGCCTCACACACACAACAAAACATTTGCTGAAATAACGTAGGACATTACCCTTTTTAATGCCGTGTTCTTGATATTCTGCAACTCATTTTTGATGATGGAAAATTTCATCATCGTATCCGACGAAAAAATTGAACTGCCGAACGCCAGACCGGGGTAATCTGCACATCTTCTTCTCCTTCTGTTTTCCCTTGCAGCTAAGACTTCTGTACATTCGCTCGTACATCTAAGTTTCGCAAGTTCTGCTGTTTCAGGGTCGTCATCAGAATTATCACAGGCAACAGCGGTCACTTCGGCGCCGTCTCCCGCCGACCGCTCATCTTTAAACGAGAAATCGTCTTCGGAGCTATCACGAGATTCCACGCCTGTAATTCTACTGTCAAACTCGATTTCATCGTCAATAATCGCATAGTCCTCGATAATATTTCGATTCGAAAGTGCATCGTCACTATTCGTCCTTGTCACTTCTTGAGATTCACTAACACTATTGACACAAGGCACAACATCGTCTGTTTGATTGTCTAAGGTCACTTGTTTGGACGGATCGTAGTTTGCGGGCGCGCTGGGGGCGGGCTGGCGGTCGCCCCGCAGCCGCGGGTGGTGCTGGTGCCCCCTGCGCCTCACGGGGGTGCGCCCGGGGGCGTGGGGCGCGGACGCGGACATTTCTACGCGCGGCGCGGTCCGTCCGGCCGCGCACTGGCGGCGGCCATGTTGACTGACGATCGCGAGCCCCAACAAACAACACACTGGCGCTGTAGTCGCTCCGAAACGGCCATCTTTTGTTTTATCGAACTGCTTTACCGACGCTGTCACTCGCTTTTGTTTACCAGCAACGCGGGAAATTTTAAATCGGTCCAAACTATTCGAAACGTCTTCCTTATTTGAATTTAAACTGTTCCAAGTTTTTTTACTCATAAAAGAATAATAATCGTGCAGTTTGATTTCATTTGTTCGGTAATAAAATCAATTTGAATAGGATGTAAAATAATTTCCGGGAAGTTAAGTCTAAAATTCCTAAACGTTAAAGCACGCGCAAACTGACGAACGAAGCGGGTGCTACGTCTATTTTTACCGAAAAACTGGGCATCGGGCCCATATTAGGTGTCGAGCGCCCGAAATAACCGCCGGAACGCAGCCCCACAGCGCGGGATTCCGCCGAGCTGACTGCATGCACCATGGCCGGGTTCCCTACGTTTTATCGAAAGTCGTTTCATCGAAGGTCGTTTCATCGAAGCCGTTTCATCGATTGGTCATAATCTCGAACGTACGAAATATCGAATGCCGTATCATCGAATGGTCACATTATCGAATGGTCGAATCATCGAATATCTTAGCGTCGAAAGGTCGTATATTAAAGAGTTACCTACTGACTAATAAAAGTTAGTAACTCGCTGAACACTTGTTTAAAGTGACGTTTAATATGGAAATGTCACTTTAAACTACTGTTCAACGAGTGTGTAACTTTTTAATAGTAAGGGAGTTGATCATGACATCGATATGTTACGGCTAAAGATAGGTGTGAACATAAACTTAAGATTAGCCGGCTAAACTTAAGTTTATCTTCGACGAGGTGTTAATGTTAGTTTCTTCTATCTTTAGCCGGCTAAACTTAAGTGTAACCGCAGGCCCTTGGCTAAAAATTTAGAAGGAAATGGAAAAGGAAACAATGTAATAATGTTTACTATTTTGGCTCCAGTCCACTATGACACTAACAATATTCTTCATACAAAGTTTCATACACCTATACCCGTACTGTTGTTCACAATATTTTGCAACAACAAGTCTGCTCTCTATGAAACTCTAATGTAAAATCGACGGTTGTTGCCGTAGTGATTTTTAGATTGATTTTCGTGAAAACGGCGAGACCCGTAGGTACTGCCATAATATGAATGAATTCCACTTTTACTGTACATATAATTATATGCCGTTACCGCGGCGGAACGTGTTAAAAAATAATCACTTTCATTATACATACTTTTATGTACCTATGTAGGTATTCAAAATTACAATTATTACAATAACAAAATATTAATCACTTAAAACAATATCTACCTAATCATTAAAATTAAATATTATGGAACCATTTGGTCATTACAATTTAATCTTCTGTAGGTATTTAAAAATATAAAATAAAACAAAATAAAACTGCGCGCGCGTTGTCTCCCCACCTCCCCCCTCAAGCCCTCCGCCGGCCTGGCGCGCCCATCGAATACATTTTTAGCCGTTTCGTTTTGGCTAATGTGCACATTAGCCGGCTAAAGATGGAATATTACAACGCAAACTAACATGTTATCGAACTTTAGCTGCTTCTCGAAGATAAACTTAAGTTTAGCCGGCTAATCTTAAGTTTATGTTCACAACTATCTTTAGCCGTAACAGATATAAAAAAATGAGTTTATAAAGTGAAAATAGCTATTGAATAACATAATAGCGTTCGGCCACCAGACCTGGCTATATGATGCACTCACGCCTTTGCCTTAGTTCCTTAGTACAAGCTAAATTTAAAAAAAACATCCATACGGCGAAATCCAACTTTGACGTTCTAAATTTAAATCACTTTACCGCTCTTTTACTATTTTGGTGGTTTGAAAACGCATTTTCTTGATACTTAACTTAATACTTAACCACAAGTCATTAAACTTGATAGTTGGATATTTTAAGTTACGGAAAAAAAGCTGGGTTTAAACTAACTTAGGCTGAGTTGGACCACCTAACTTTGACCGTATCTATGACGATAACCGGTTTTTTATGTGTAGAGTTTGACAGATTTTTGAAGTTTGTCACAGTTAAAGTAAGATTGTGCAAGTCAGCCTAACGTCACCTCCCATGTTCCCATATTTGATACTTAATAAACAACCTTTCGACACTAAGACATTCGATGATTCGACCATTCGATAATGTGACCATTCGATGATACGGCATTCGATATTTCGTACGTTCGAGATTATGACCAATCGATGAAACGGCTTCGATGAAACGGCCTTCGATGAAACGACTTTCGATAAAACGTAGGGAACCCCACATGGCCTACCTGTTTTTTATCAATGACGTCATTTTTAATCGAGAGAAAATTTCCGTCTGGCGAGTCACTCACGATGTCGCGTCGACTGACCTCGAGATGTTAACTTAGCAGAGGAAATGCAAACGATTATGCATCAAATTAATTATTGGATCGATAAAATTTTGAGTATATTTCGACAACGCGATGATGCCAATGGGTCAGGGCTCTTGGCGCGTTGCGTGTTCGTTGCAACTGCACAGACTGACACACATTTTCAATTTAATTTCGTCCGCAATGTACCGCTGAACGGACATTCTTTTGTGATGCAATCAGTGATACATATAACAACTGAATAAACTGGTCGATACGGATAGCTCTCGTAACATTATACACCACTGCGTTTTTTACGACTTAAAGATTGTACTTACTGTTTATTTTTGCCGATTATTTTTCTTACAATTTTTTGGCAGGCTATAATGTATTTATTGTTTGCGTGAAAATTTACAGTTATCATCGTGTTGTAATGAAAAAGTTACTAACCCGATAATTGGTTCTGACAGCCGTTATGTATGAGTTCCTCATAGTTTGACATTGCTTACATACACGTTACAATCCCAATTAAATAATTTGGCTTCAGGAAATGAAAGAATTTCTTAAATAAAGCGTATCACTTCATCCGTAAATTAATTGGCGCTATCATTTTTTGTTTCTACTATCACGTTACAGAGGTAAAAAGTGGAGCACATCATGTTAGATTAATAAATTAATCTGTGGTCTAGAGATGATATGGAAGATACTCATCCCTAGTAAATCAATTTTCTAGTTAAACCAAAATCTGACACATTTTTCAAGGTTTTCTATAAAATCTTTCTTTAAAAAAGTTCATCCGTGTAAACAACACTATTTAAAAGTTTACAAGATCCTCGTCATCCTCATTACTTCCGCAAGGGATAATCAAGCTATTCTAGAATTAATTTCAGTTCATCATTAACTTCATAAAAAATTCAACGATTCCAAGTATCTTAAGTTGATTTTTCATTAAAGTCTCTTCATTATCACTCTGTAAGTACACTATGCGGTAAACTTACCGAGACGTAATAGTGTAAACACAATCTCGGTTACTTTTTCCTTCCCCCATCCGTGTGTCGCCCATACTTCGGTGTGCGGGCTCGCGCTTTGTCTTGGTAAGCCCGCATAGTGTACTTGCACCATAAAGCTAAATTTTTCTTCGGTATTATTCTGTGCTAAGTACTCACGTTCTGAAGAGCCTTCTCCTTCTCCTCCAGCTTGGCGTTGACCTGCATGAGGCCCTCCTGGGTCTGGTCGAGGTCGTTCTCGATGGTCTGGATCTTCTTTTGCAGCTGTCTCGCCTCCTCCTCGGCCTGCAGACAGAAATTACGTTAGTGACCTGATAGTTTGGGAGGAAAGAAGAAAGGGAAGATTCCGCACTTTGGTTGCAGATTGCTACCACACGGCCAATCTGGAAATCATCAGAGGAGTTCTATGTTCAGGAATGGATGTCCTGTACTGTGATACGATTATGAATCTGGTTGTTCAGGGTCCCAATCCTGGAAGATCCAGACAGAAAGATGGTTCCGCGCTTTAGTGGGTTAAATAGTTAAATAGTGGGTCGAATAGACCCATGCAAATCAGAAGAGAACTAGGATGTTGATGAAATGCTAAAAGCTCGTAACCTATGTAACTGCAAGCTTTTACATGGGAAATAAAATGTAAGAGACGTATTTTGAGTAAAATAGGCTAGTTGCCTAAAAGAATTTTTTTAGTCCGTAATGTTTAATATCAAAAAATATTGGACACATATATTCTTATTTGTCAATCTAACAAATAATTACATAGTTACGGTGCGTTGAAGTTGCGCACGACGTCACAACGTGCGGCATTTTTAAGCAAGCGTTGACGTCACGGGCCTCTTCTTATGAACTTTGGGGCGCTTTATCTCTTTAAATTTTCATTAGTTTGAAAAAGTGAAAAATACATGTAGAGTATTTTTTGATAAGTTAACTGACGGACTAATTAAAATCTTGCTTTTTGACCCAGGCAACATCCCCATTACCTATTTATAAAGGTGCCGGATACAAAAATATTACCTAGGTGTATCTGTCTGATGTAAACTCAATCTGTATTAGTTGCAGTACCTACCACGTTTTACATACGTGAGTATATTAATTTATGGCTCGGTATAGCCTAAGGATTTTTCTTCCTAGGCTGAGAATCGGATAGGACTATGGTTGCTGTGGTGATTTTGTAGATATCTATGACACAATCTAACGCATTCTGTGATTCGAAATTGTGTGATTTAGAAAAAGTCTGCATATTTTAGTCATTATTTAAATATGTAGGTAAAGTTTATATCTTATGTGTCATCTAAAAGTATCTCAATAAAATAGAAAACAAATGCAAATTAATGTATTCAAGCAGTACTTACTTTATGTAACTTTCATGAATAACGAATATATTAAGTAAATCAAGTTGGTAATTATGCTATTATGTTACTATAATGTTTCTACTCACAGACGCAGGCATCATTGTCATGGCCTCGATGCATTTACATACACCGCCGCGGCGTTACTTATGTATTTAATAACCGCACTATCTTTCTGCTTCTAGGTACTGTATTATCTAATATTTACTTGCATAGCTAATTAACTAATAAGTATTAAAAATAAAATGTATAGGTACTTTTCAATACTTAAATTAGACGTTGAAGATAACAAACAATATTTTGGGCATCTTTTGCGACTTTACAATAGTTACCGAATGAATAAAACAAATGAAGCTCACTACAGTTCATATGATTTTAAATGTTTTGTTTTCCGTTCATCTCGCTTGACGACCCTTTTCGGCCAGGATTTTTTTCTCAAAATTCAAAAATGATAGAAACCTCTATCATTTAGAATGCTACTTTTTTAAGATCGCAATTTTTGTGTTTTTTTCTTCTTGAAAAAGTGAGATTTTTTTCCTGGCTGAAAAGGAAGGCTTCTAGACAAATAACAAAGGTTTTTTTTCTTAAAGGAGCAAAGAAGTTTGGTTCAAAGTAATGCTACGGCTATTTATAGGTCACGATCTATTACCTTCTCGGCACGGAGGTTGGCGTCCTTGGCCTGCTGCTCGCACATGGCGGCGCGGTCAA